TATGACAATTTAAGGAAAGTATCCTTCAACTTATGAAACAGATAAATTCCTTAAAGTTTTACCTAGAGAGAACTGTACCATAACTATGACAGTTGACCCTTGAACAATGCTGTGGTTAGGAATGTGAGTATCCTGCACAGTCAAAAATTAGCATAACTTTTGACTTCCCAAAAACTTGATTAATAGCCTACTGTTGACTGAAAGCCTTACCAATAACACAATCAACAATTATTTTGTATATTATATACTGTATTCATACAACTAAGTAAGCTAGGGAAAAGAAAATGTTATTTAAAAAATCATAAGGAGAAAATACATTTATAGTACTATACTGTATTTACTGAAAAGAATTATCTTATAAATGGACCCATGTGGTTCAAACCCATGTTGTTCAAGGATTCAAGTGTAAGATGAGAAGAAATCACAAAACTAGATTATGCACCCCCTAAACACCCACTAATCAACAAGCCAAACTGAAAATGAAGACGGTAACTCCATGCTACTTTGACCACTGCCATACTCCCAAAACAACCATCCCTCATTTAGCAGTTAGTATCTTCTGTGCAAGGCATTGTGCCAGCCTAAGCTCCACAGAATGGGCTCCATTAGCCAAATTCAAGTATTCAGCCACTACAATCTGATGAAGTTCATCATTTTCCCAACACATGTGGGGGTGGGGGGATTAAACGAATTTTCTCAATTTTATTTTTCGACTTTTCTAAAAATATTTTTTTCAAGATTTATTTATTTGAGAGAGAGAGTAAGAGTGTGCATGCAGGAGCAGGGGGAAGTGCAGAGGAAGAGACTCTCAAGCAGACTCCCTGCTGAGCACAGAGCCTGATGTGGGGCTCAATCCCACAACCTGCGAGATCATGACCTGAGCCGAAACCAAGAGCTAGACACTTTAACCAACTGAGCCACCCAGGCACCCCAGAGTTTTCTTAATTTTAAAATATTATTCTAATTTTTTTTCTCAAACTCTACAGTATTCCTCTACCTATTCAACTAGAATCCACTGTGAGGTACATCTGATTTAGCATATAACTACACACCTAGCTACTCTGTTTTGGTTCTCAGTGGTATTCTGCAAAAAACACTTGAATTTTTACAGAAATTTGAAATCCACAAAGTTAAGAGATGAGGAGTCATTTATAAGCCAGAACAGATCAAGTATCTCAGTGACTTAACGATAGAGAAAGGATACAAAAATTTAAAAATAAATGTAAAATAAGAAAAATATAAATGATAAAACAAAAAACAAGTTCTATAGGCAATCTGTGTAAGGAGTGTGATCATGAGAGAAATGAAACAGTAGTAGCAAGGAAGAAGGTGACTCAAAAGAAGGAGGCTCTAAGCCAGGCTTCAACAAGGCAGACAGGCAGCCTGGAGCCAGTTCCAAACGGTGCTATGATGCTACGCCTGCAAATCTGTGAATTTTATCTGGCAAGCATAAGGGTAGCTAGAAAAATAGGTGTCACAAGAGAACTTTAAATAACTCAGGTAACATATAAACTACCAATTTTATGGTGACTTCATAATTCAGTCTAAATGTATTGTCAAACAACATGAAAACCTCAATAAAATAGGAAACAATCAACAAGTCCTCTAATCAATGATAGTAAACAAATAAAGTCCAGGTTCTTGTCAGGAACTAGAACTGAAACTTCTCTTGTTCAAACCTTTTTAAAAACTTCATTACAAAAATAACATGCATAGAGGCTTTTCTATGTGTGGTTCCAAAGGCCATGTAATCTATTTATTCCTTTAGACATTTCTAAATTGTATTCTTAGATCAGGCTAGATCAAACCACTGCTGATTCATCGCACTCCTAAACTTGTCTCATAAAATTGCTTTTTTGTATCATGTCATTTGCTTACGCTAGGGAATATTATAAGAAAAATCATAAAAAGCTCATTGTTATGGCTGTTGGAAGAATGCTACCCAAACGCTGTCCCTCTTTAAGTATATCAGGTCTCAAGAACATGAAGAGCAAAGTTTGTATCCAATGGACACTGAATCCTGTAAATGATTCATTATCTTCCTTTGTTTTGGCCATGAAGATGCTCAGAGCAATATTTCCAAGTCCTTTTCTAACAAATGAATGTGGACTATGTAGTCTGCATCTCCAGAAGGAAATGTTACTTCAGTTTATTATTCTCCTATCTCTATCTCTACTTACATTTGATTCTCTTTCCTGTGCTCTTTTTTTTTTTTTAATTGCCTTACATCCTTTGTGGAATAAGACGGGGTATAAAGAAATAATACATAATCTAGAATTAAAACCAATTAAACAGAATTGGAAGGGTGTTAAAATCTTACATGATACTCTTAAGAAAATAAGAGAGAGGAAGAAAAATATTTGCAAAAAAAATTTGTTCTTTCAAGTCCAGAATATCTGTCAGAATTAATATATGTTTAAACAATCTTCTGTAATGTTGACATAAAGGTCTACAGTACCATACAATAGCAACTGCTACTCAGAATAATGACCAAGGGTTCTAAAAGTGCCTATTAAATGGAATCTTAAAATTTACAAGTTTTTCTCCATAAAACAGAAATAGGTTAGACATTATTTTAGATATATTTTAACCATCATCACCCCTACATTTCCCAGTTAAACCCTTTAAAAGCCCAGTTTAAGATAAAAGCTCATTATCTTACCATTACCTAGCTGATCTAAGTAATTATGGACATTTCTCTAAGGTTCTATTTGGGCCTCTCAGAAACTCAGTAGGCATTTCTACTCTCACAGTTTCAACTTCTGTGTGAATGATTCCAAAATCTCTAACCCAGCTCAACTGGGCTGCCTAGTCACAAGCTCAAGTAAAATACTCAAAATAGTGCTTAGTTACCTATCTGTTCTTCCTCACTCCCATAAGCAACCCTTCCCAAAAAGCTCATTCTGTCCAGTTCCAAGGCTTTAGTCATCTTTGGTATTCCATCTCTTCATCTCTAGCATTACCCACTCCTTTTGAAGTGTCTTTGTGACCAGCATTTTCTTTTGCATCTTATTAGGTCAGGCCCTAATTATAAGTTAATCTCTCTCAGACTTTCCATTTCATCTTACATTTCACTGCCTCAGCATTGTTTTTTAGCAAGTCACTTCTCTCAAACCTGCAGTAACAGCTTCTTATAACCTATTACATCATAGTGACATCCCTAAGTCTGAACTTGCAGAGAAACCCAGGATCAGGCCCCACACTATTTATCTCACATTTCCATAACTATCCCTAAATCACCATTCACTATACAAGGCCAAACAGGTGAATACACCCTCAAGGCCAAGTCATCTTTAATAATTCTGCCTCTCCTCTCTACAATTGGAATGCTCTCTTCTCTGTCTTAGCCAAATCTTACGAATTCTTCAGGACATGTCTCATGTGTCATCCCAATAATGAAGCCCTTCTCCTAATTATATCCCTTCTGAATCTTGTCCTCATCTGATATCCTTCTGTATGCAAAATCTATGTCAAATTGCTCAAAAGTTAATTGTCCTGTTTTATGCATATGCTCTCCAAGGGGGGGGGTGTCTTATCTTTTCCCATAGTTTTAATTATAAACTATAAAACTGACCCACAAATCTGTATCTCAGTATTGGTCCTTTTCCACTAGGCTCCAGACTTACACATCTGCCCACCTGACAGTGCCTCCTAAATGTCTAATGGGCATCTCGGACTTAACATGTTCAAACAGAACTCTTGATTTTTATCAATGAAACACACATCTCCAACCTTACTCATTTCAACCCCATTAGCCAAGTAATTATGGACATTCTCTAGGCCAAAAATCTAGAGGTAACTCGATTATTCTCTTTCCCTCACATGCCACTACTATCCATTAAGAAGAGTTGTTGGTGTTATTCCCCAAATCCAAACACCCCTCATCATTCTCACTTTCATTCAAGTTCTAAGCATCACCTCTACCTGAACTTCTTTAAGAGTCTACTAAATAATCTCTCTGCTTCTACTCTTTTTCCCATAGGGCCCATTCTTCACACAGCAGCCAGGATGATCTGCTCAAAGCCAAAATCACACTACGTGACTCTCCCGCTTAAAACTCTCCAATGGTGGGGCACCTGGGTGGCTCAGTGGGTTAGGCCGCTGCCTTCGGCTCAGGTCATGATCCCAGGTCCTGGGTTCAAGCCCCACATCGGGCTTTCTGCTCAACAGGGAGCCTGCTTCCTCCTCTCTCTCTGCCTGCCTCTCTGCCTACTTGTGATTTCTCTTTGTCAAATAAATAAATAAAATCTTTAAAAAAAAAAAAAACAACTCTCCAATGGTTTCCTATACATTAGACTCAATCCAAACTCTGTATCACAGCCTAGAAGGCTCTACATAACCTGTCCCATTCTTAGCTTTTCTGACCTCACCTTCTGCCACTCTATTAATCATCCAAAATGCTCCAGCATCTCTGGTTTTCTTTCCATCCCTTAATCAGTGTCAAAGGTCTTCTGCACTGGCTGTTACTCTGCCTTGCTCTTCATCCACAGCATCCTTCATCTGACTACCTTTCCCCCCATCTTTTAGGGTCTCTGCTCAAATATCACCCTTTCAGAGAGTCCCTGAACTATGATAAAGTCATTCTATCCCATCACCCAGTGTTACTTTATATACAATAAATAGAGATGTGCTAGCCTCTCTCACTATATGTAAACTTAAATTCTTTGAGGGCAGGTATCATGTACAATTTTTATATTTCCCAAGACAGTTTGCCTGGGTATGTAAGAACACCAATAACTACCTAGTGACCAACTTAAAAGATAAAATACCTGTGATCTCCAAAACTATAAAAATTTCTAAAGCAGATATAGACACAGAGAAACTGCAAAAAGGGCGATGACAGGATGACTACTGTTTAGTTTAAGTTCAGAACCACATGAGTCTTGACTTGAACACTTTTCTAAACTAAGCAATCACTACATTTTACAGCAACCACTTAAATTTCATGTAACTGGCAACCACTATGCAAATGATTCTAATGGAGCAAAACGAAGTCTTACTTAATGTTATAATGTCCAGTTTTCAGTGTACATCTATCAGGAAGCTGAGCAAGTTTCTTCGAGAGCATTTTAAAATACTTTCTGCACTCCTGCACGCCTGTGCCTTGTTCATAGTCAGTAGAAGCAGAAAGTGGTAGCCCATCTCTGACACGAATGACTGATGCCGATAAAATCATGGACATTTCAACCAGCAGAGGAGACCTAAAACAAAACAAATAATTGGGTTAGATAAAAAAAATGAAAGCCCAACCTGATAAATGGTGCAAAAATGTTCAACTCACTAATAATCAAAGATTCACTAATTAAAACAATGACATACTACACTTTGCTTAACAAACTGGCCTTTAAAAAATAATAACTGTTGGGGCAGCTGGGTGGCTCAGTCGGTTGAGTTACCTGCTCTTGATTTCAACTTAGGTCATGATCTTAGGGTCCTGATATCCAGCCTGACGTCAGCCTCTGCATTCAGGGTGGGGTTTGCTTGTCCCTTTCCTTCCCCCTCCGCCTCTCCTCCAGTGTGCCCACACCTCTCTCCCTCTAAAGTAAATAAATATTTTTTTAAAAACTTTTAAAAATAATACTTGCTTTTTTCTGGCATTTTTGTAAGTATTTGCAGAAGTAAATATTATAATAAACACCATTCTCAAAATAATTTGGCAATATTCAACAGAGTTTAAAAATATTGATGCCCTTCAACCACGATAGCAATATAAATATATAACCCTACCCTAAGGGAAGTAATCAGATTCAGACAAAATGTTAAACAGAAAGGCATTCTTTCACAGAAATATCCAAAAACGATCTAGACATCCAACAACAGGAGAATGGTTAAATAAATTATAGTACACTATGATGGAATATAATGAAGAACAGTTATGTTTATGAAAAAGAGTTCAATAATGTAGTAAAATGCTTACAAATAAATCAGAAAAAAAGCAGGATAAAAACTGCAAATGCTTACTATAAAGCCAAAGAGAAGAAGGGGGAGATAAATAGAGAAATAAATATCAGAAGGAAATATGCCAAAATTATAATAATGCTTATCTCCAGAAAATAGTATTAGGGGTGATTACTATTTTTTAATTTCCTAAATTTTCATAATATTCCACAGTGGGCATATATTACTTTTGTAAACAGAAAAAAAATTTTATTGGGGTGCCCATGCCGCTCAGTTAGTTGGGGCTCCAACTCTTGATTTTCGCTCAGGTCATGATCTCAGGGTTTTGAAATTGAGCCCCGTGTCAGGCTCCCCACTGAGCAGGAAGGAGGCTGCTTGGGATTCTCTCTCTACCTCTCTCCCTACTGATGCACACTCTCTAAAATAAATAAATACATCTTCAAAAAACAAAAAAATTTACTTTTAATAAGTCTTTATTTATTTGACAGAGATCACAAGTAGGCAGAGAAGCAGGCAGAGAGAGAGGAGGAAGCAGGCTCCCTGCTGAGCAGAGAGCCCGGTGCGGGGCTCAATCCCAGGACCCTGAGATCATGACCTGAGCCGAAGGTAGAGGCTTTAACCCACTGAGCCACCCAGGCGCCCCTACTTTTAATAAGTTTTAAAGCTAAAGGAACACTGGTTTTAGTACTGTTCCCAATTTCTTTACCAGAAAATAAACCATAATGCTTCTTTTATTATATTCTGATCAAGCTTCACAAAAATAGATAAAAGGACTTCATAGGCTGGGTCTGAAAGAAATCAGGTAATCAGAAACTTTGCTAAAAACTATACAATGTTGCTCAAATTTTAGCTTGTATAAAAACCATTGGAAGTTTGGTTAGAAATGCAGATTTCTGAACCTCCCCCTCCCCCAAATTCTGATCCACTGACTATGAGGTAGAGCTTGAGATGCTTCCATTTTTAACAAATTCCCAGTAATTACTATGCATAGTGTCTACGGACACTTTGAAAAACACTAACTTAAAACATGTTCACGGTCTGAAATTAAGTGATAACTCTTTCTTGGCCAGGTCTTAGAGAAGGATGTCACTAAATACTGCCTCACTAGCAGTAGGGAAAATGGTGAAATTGAAAATTTTGAAAACAATTTCATAGGCTTTTTTCAAGATATTGTATCTCAAAGACTAAATCTTCACCTGTCCTGTTCAGATAGCTCAATAGTATCGCATTCCAAATGTGAAAAACTGAGTTTATTATATATCAAAAAATGCTAAAGAAAACCAACTGGTACCAACTTTGGAAATTAGTACTATAGTTTGTTTTCATTGCCATGTAAAGTTGCAATCTGTCTACTCATGATGGTAACTGACATGAAAAATTAACCCAAACAACAAAGTTAATGCATTAAATATACTCTCCCTTTTCCTTTTTTCATGAGGAAATTAAAGGAATAGTTAGGTATTAACAGGTCAATACTATTTTTCTCCGACGTTCATTTAAAAAAGGAAAAAAAAAAAACAAACAACAGGAATTAAATTATTCTTTACCATAATGGGATCTTCTAAAGAAAACCAACATGACATATTCAAATCACTTTTTTTTTCTATTCAGTTTCTTTTCTCTTCCAAAAGCAATAGCAAGAGAAAGCTGGGAATCTTCAAGGGACAATATCTGAACAACAAACCCCTTTTAAAAACTATTACTATGTTTTATTTAATTATTAAACCATAATTATGAGATTTAGCCTAAGTATAAGAAAGTAGGAAAATGTCTTTGAACCCTTAGGCATTCATTATTTAAATATAAAATTTTTTCTTCCTGAAGTTTACTGCAACACAATGACTACTCTGGGAATTACCATGAGGGCAGAGTTGTGACTTATAGTTTCCAAGCACTCACATTCTTAGTATTTAGAAGTAGGCTGCATTCTTTCATGCCTGATCTTTCTAGGGTAGCAACAGAAATATTAGGAATAATCTTTATTACAGAGTGCCAATTTTCATTTAATCTTCAGTTACTCCTTTTTTATGAATTAAAAACTGAAAAATAGGATTCATATTTCCTATAACATATATAGAGAAACAAATCCCAAACTGTAAATTCCATTCATTTAACAAACATTTACTGAGTAGGTACTATATGCCAGGGACTATGGGAGACATCAGGATTACACAGTTCCTACCCTCAAGAACCATCAATCCAGAATTAAAGAAATTCAGATGAAAAGAGCAAACACAAGTTGTGTCACCCACCACTTAACTGGAAAACTATAGTTAAACAAACTCGCATTTCAGATATTCCTAATACATTTAGGCTTGTAACCAAAAGCACAACAAAGCACTGACAGTCCCTGTCAAGATTCTTAAAAAATTGTCAGAAAATCGCCTCTGTCAGTAGATAAAACTCCTCTGAGAAAAAGTTAAATTTCCTCCTCCCAGAGTCATTGGACCTAATATCCAAACCAGTGAGCTAGCAAACAAAACTGTCATGACTGCCCAGTGAACACTGCCAGGCTTGACAAAGTTGTAGATGGACTTGAGTCGCTTTAGGATAAGCAATCTCTCCTCTACCAACTACTACCACCCCCTCTTTTCTGTTTCTACCTTGGATTCTTAATGCAGTTTCTTACACACACACACACACACACACACACACTCTCTCTCTCTCTCTCTCTCTCTCTCTCTCTCTCACTCTCTCTCTCTCACTCCAATATCATCTGGACTATGCCAGTAGAAAAAGGCATCTGTCTCCATAAAGGCCAAGCTAGGGTTAGAATACCCTTAGAGTCTAGGCACGGTGGTGGTTGGGAAAACCAAGAAAGACCCGATGGGAACTGAGGAAATCAAGAGGTTAACATTTGTGTGGGAAGATTCAGGAGCAATAGTAGTTTTATCAGGGCCACAGATATATTTTTAGGCCATGATTCATTTTCCCTCACCTTTAACACTGAAAAAGAAAAAAAAAAATTATGTCTTTCAACAGCAGAAAACTCACAGGGAATCTGAGTACTGACTTGTATATCCTTTCCTCAATAGCAACTGCTAAAGGAAAAAGCCCAAATTAAAATCTGGGTAAGTCTGGGGAAACATTTATGTAGAGACTAATGAAAATAAACTCCCACTATGCCAATGGTTTAGCAACTATTTAGTCCCAGGATAACGGGATGCTGACCTCTGCTTCATAACCTTGTGAGGTACTGATTGTGGGCCCCAGGAAGGCACTTTCTCAAAAAGTAATTAATAAAACCCAACACTTAAGTACACTTTATATCTACTTTCCAGCAAGATGTTTTCATAAAAGATAAAAACACTTCATATCAGGTTAACCACTCATATCTTATTTTAATTATTTCCCAAACTTAAATCATCCAAGTACCATTTTCAGAATTCTTTTTTTTTTTTTAAGATTTTATTTTAAACAACCAAGGGGAGAGAGAGAGAGAATCTCAAGCAGACTCCATGCTGAGCTTAGAGACTGATGCAGGACTCAATCTCCTGACCCTGAGATCATAACCTGAGCCAAAATCAAGAGTCAGCTGATTAACCCAATTCAGCCACCCAGATGCCCCCATTTTCAGAAGTCTTACCATATCTACATCTCACCTGTACTATTATTTACCTAATATAGGTCTTTCAATTGACATTTTTTTTGCCCTATCCTTAGCAATAATATCTGTGAAATCAGTTTTTTTTAAAGATTTTTATTTATTTATTCATTTGAGAGAAAGCACGTGAGCAAGAGAGAGAAGAAGCAGAGGGAGTGGCAGAGGGAGAGGGAGAAGGCGGTTCCCCCTGAGCAGGGAGCCTACACCGGGCTTAATCCCAGGACTCTAAGATCATGACCTGGGCAGAAGGCAGACGCTTAACTGACTGAGCCACCCAGGCGCCCCATGTGAAATCAGTTTTGAGATGCTAGAAGTTTTTCTCCTAATTAGAGATTTTTTATGTTGTTGTTTCATCCAAATGTATGTGTGAAAATTCTTTGAAAATTATTTTTTAAAAATGTTCACCTACATATCACTCAAATTATCTTGCATGGGAAACACTACAGTGGTGCACACTTGATTGAAAATGCTAGCTGAGATCTCTAGGAATTGGAAACGGAGGTTACGGGGGAGAAGGCTATATTAACTGTGATGTATAGGGTGGGAGCAAGATTGAGAGAAAAAGGAAGGACTTTGCACAGCCATATGTTAACAGAAAGACACTTGAAAAACAGTTTAAGACACTTGAAAAACAGTTTGAAGAGGAAAAGGGGAAGGGTACCAAAGAAAATCAGAATTTATTTAGCAGCTTTGCCTATGCCCCAAACCTTACCAATAGCCTTCAATACTCCTATTACAAGTTGCTTGTACTACACAGTATGTGTAAGACCTCAGGCTCCGGAGTAATTATACACACAACTAGGAACAGGGCCCCCAACACATGCACAAATGTGTCAATCCCCAACAGTTATGTAGCACCTCACAGTTTACAAACAGTGAGGTAGGTATTAACTCCATTTTAATGATGAGGAAATTGAAGGTCCTTTCCTCAATGTCATACTGCAAATACACAGCAGAAGCGGTGCTTAAACCTAAGTTTCTTGTACCACATCACCGCTGTGCTAAAACCAACAATGAGTAAGAACCCAGTGACAGAGAAACTATCAATCTACTAATTTTGAAATAATAAAAGACCACCTTACATTTTAAGAGACAGTATAACAGATAACAGGATGGACTCTGGAACAAATGCCTGTGTTCAAAAACTGGCTAACTGTAAACTTGAGCACCTGTAAATTGTGGTCACTAACAGTATGTATCTCATAGGATTGTTTTAACAATACTAATAGTGGGGCACCTGGGTGGCTCAGTGGGTTAAACCTCTGCCTTCAGCTCAGGTCATGATCTCAGGGTCCTGGGATGGAGTCCCACATCAGGCTCTCCGCTCAGCGGGGAGCCTGCTTCCACCTCTCTCTCTGCCTGCCTCTCTGCCTACTTGTGATCTCACTCTCTGGCAAATAAGTAAAATCTTTAAAAATAAATAAGTAAATAAAAATACTGATAGTATCTACCTGATAGGGATACATAAAGAAACTGAAACATCACCTTGAAGACCAAAAATACAATATTATTTATTATTATTATTATTATTATTATCATTAATTGGCTGCCTTCTATTTTCTAGGCACTTTATACATTACTTCATTTAAGCCTTCTGATAACCAGTGAGAGAGGTATTATCAGTTCTATTTTACCCTTGAGGACATTCAAGCTCAGAAAAGCAATTTATTCAATTTCTAAGTTCGTAAGTGACAAGATTTAAATACAGGCCTAATTCTAACCACCCAATAAGATACTGCCTCACAACATTTCCAAGCTTCCTACTCAAGTATACAGAAAGTCACATGCACCCCTTTGATAAGACCTGTGCTTCTTTTAAACATAAATATAAAATATAGATTTTTAAAAATCAGTTCATACACCAAAAAAAAAAAAAAAATCACTAAACTGATATCATGATTCTCAACATAAGAAATGCCCAGATGTCCCACTAATTTACCGCATGGTCACATGTCAAATTCAAATACTGAACTACCTTCAATAATGGAAAGTATAGGTACTATTTCAAGTACTGCCTAACTCCTTATAATGTCAACATGTGAGCAAGTTCAGAGTTTAGAAAAATGACTGTTCCACCTGTTAGCTGGGATCACAACATCTCGCCTCTGGTGGCTGACACTCTAGCCCTGGACTTTGCCTTGGCTGTACACACATGGGAGAGACTGGTTCTCAAGCTCTCCAACAGCCCCAGCGGACGATCCAGGAAACTAAGGTGGAGAAAAGTCCAAAGCTGCTTTCGCTGGCAGAAAGATTCAAGTCCGCTGGAGCTCGGCCTCCTATTCCGGAGCCCTCTTCCACCTGTCGAGCCAATTGCTCAGGTCTCCTTTAAGCCATATCGCTCTCAAAGTGTCATTAACAGGGCCTTAAAAGGTTTCTGATGGCGAACGCGGCCAAATCTCTGGGTTCAATGCCCATTAAATCCCCACAAAACGCAAAGTAAGCCACTAGTTCAAATCCCACCCTGTCTTTAAAAAAACAGTAAATGCCACGTCAAGCTCTCTGAATAGCCTAATACCTAATTCCTAATTCCACCTGAATAGCCTAGGTGGATTACCGTGTTTCTAACAACTGGGCTCCAGGGAATGCCCCCCGCTGCTGGCAGCCCACAGAGACTGCCCCTTCCCCGGACTCCTCTGCTTGGGCTGCCCCATACCCAAGACAGGTCAACCATGGGGCAACCGCCGCTCGCGCGCACTCACAGTACCCCTCCAGTCGAAGGGGACCAAACCCCGCAATCCCACCTCTCTAGAGCTCGGCGGCTCCAACCACCGGGCTCCCGCCCCCAGGGCACGCGCTGGGTTCCTCCTGCCCAGGGGGAGTTCTGCAGTCGCGAGGGCAAGGGCCGTGACGGCTGGTAGGTAGAGCGATGGGAACGCCTGCTAGGGGTTCGACCCTAAGAGGGGAAGAATGACAACTGCGAGAGGTCAGGTCGTACCTGTCGAGCCGGGACCCGCCGCTCCAAGTGACGCGACCCGCAGTGCATTGTGGGGCCAGGGAGTGGCCTTTCTGCGGGGCAGCCCCGCGTCCAACGTGGCTGGCGCCAGACAGGATCAAGCTCCGCCCCCGTCCCTCGGCTCTCCCGGACCAATCAAGTTCTGTGGGAAGGACACGCTGACCCGCCCCTCCTGGGGCCTGATGTAGTCCCGCCCCCATCCAAGAAAGATTGGCAGCTTTTCACGCACCTGCGCCGAGATGTTACCACGTCCTCTGGTGACAGTGACTGATAATATTGTCTCTCACAAATAAAGCTAATCTCTCCTGCCTGTCGCCTCTATCCAGAGGCACTTTGTCTCTCACGCGGCCCTACGGCAAACACTTATCCGACCAGCAGGGGGAAAAGCCCCCTCTGAGTGAGCAATAAAAGGACTTGCCCCATCTATCACCGCACAAGAGGAAGCACCTAACCTTGGCAGAGAAATGCCAGATGCAGACCCTGCGGCCCTTTCCAACCTTTGCAGGGGTCTTGCATTGTTAAATAAGCACTTAATGACTGTTTACCACCATGACTTAATGACTGTTTACCACAGTAAACAGTGCCTAACACGGTGTTAGGCATTGGGTTACGGGAACGAACTTAACACTGGATGAAATCTAAAGGGCAATAGAAGCAAGAGACCGTAAAGCATAAATCATCACATAATTATCAATTGTCGTTAGTACTATGAAGGAAAATTAGTAGGTATGATGATGGATTAATTCTGGACTATCAGGGAAGATGTCTTTGAAGAAGTGCCTTTTAAATTCCAAGCATGTGAAAGAGCCTTAAAAAATGTTTCGAGGGACGCCTGGGTGGCTCAGTTAGTTGAGCAGCTGCCTTCGGTTCAGGTCGTGATCCCGGCGTCCTGGGATCGAGTCCCACGTGGGGCTCCTTGCTTGGCGGGGAGCCTGCTTCTCCCTCTGCCTCTGCCTGCCATTCTGTCTGCCTGTGCTCGCTCTCTCTCCCTCTCTCTCTGACAAATAAATAAAATCTTTAAAAAAAAATGTTTCGAGCCAAGAGAACATTAAGTGTTGGATTGTTGGTGGCATGAAAGAACTTGGAGGGTTCTAGGAACTGAAAAGAAGTCAGTGTGGTTGAAATGTAGGGAGCAAGCCTGGGCAGAGATGACATAGAGGCCAGACCATGCAGGATCTTACTGGCCACATAATAGATTTCAGACTGTATTTTGGAATGCATCCTAAGGTTAATGGGCAGCTAATAGAGAATGTTAAATAGAATCTGATTTACATATTTAAAAGCTCACTCTGGCTATTTGTGGGAAGTAGTTTGGAAGAGGGCAGGAAGGGTTGCTGAAAGGCCAGGTTGGAGGCAGAGATGATGGTGGCTTGAACTGGGATAATGGTAGTAGAGACAGTGAGAGTTGGATAATTTCAGAAAATGCATGAATGAGAGATGGAATCCAAGAGGCTTAATAATGTACTGGTTTTCTGGGAAGAGTTAAGAAAAGAGGAGCATTAAGAATGACTCCTTAAGTAACTAGATGGATTAAGAAGCCATTTACTGATTCAGGGAACATAAAAAGAGGAGCAAATGGTTTTGGATATGAGTTTGAGATGCTTACAAACAAAAGTGTCAAATAGTTTTGAACGTGTAAGTCTGAAGAGCAGAAGAAATGTCTGGACTAATTACATAAATTTGGTGGTAATTGAAGTGCGTTAACCCAGCAGTTCCATTCCTAGGCATATATGCAACAGAAATGTATTCATGTGTTCACCAAAAGACATATATAAGAATGTTAATAGGATGAATAAATTTTAGAATATTCACATAGTGGAATAGCATACAGGAAAGAGAATGAACAATTTACTGGTACACGCAAACACGGATGAATTTCACAGTTGTTAAACCGAGTGAACTAAGCCAGACACAAAAATTGTATATTGTATTATTTTGCTTTTATAATATTCAAAAATAGACAAAAATAATGCATGGTAATAGAAGTTGGGATATTGGCTATCCTTAAGCGGTAATAATGTTTAAAAAGGGCCACTAGGGGGCTCCTGAAGTTCTAATACTGTTGTTCTTGATCTGGGTGTTGATTACACCAATATATTCAATTAATGAAAATTCATAAAGCTGTACACTTAAGATTTATGAAATTTTCCAATATGCATTTTATTGTTCAATAGAAAGTTTAAATTTTTAAAATGTTATGCATGATCCAGCCATGAACAAGTTACTGGTACCAGACTAACCTTCCTATAACAAACAATAGAAAACTAGACCAAATCTATGAAAGAAGGGTTTTCAGACATTGGACAATAGGTACACTGGGAAAAAGGAAAACAAATAAGATGAACCCAAAGTTTCCCCATATTTCTTTCTGGATGTATTTACCTAAGCACAAGATAGGAAAAAACCAAACAGGTTATATTACTCCTGCTAAATGAGGAAAGAGAAATTGGAATTAGGAGACATTGAGACAAATGAAATTTGCAGGGCAGAATACCAGAGAAAGAGCTCCAGAAATATGCATAACGGTCTCCATGAAACTTTAGTGTAAGTTTAAGGATAAACTTCTTAACCTAGTTAAATTACAGCTACTGGGGGAACTGTAAGCTGAACAACTACTAAAGCTTGAATAAAGTTCGGAAACATTCAAATCCTGACTGATTGGAATGAAGACACCTTATAAACACCTGGGGCGTTTGGTAGGGAGACCTCAAAAAGGCCACACTTTAAAAATAAGGCTAAACTAACCCAAGAGTAAAGCCTATTCTATCCACTGAGAAAAGCTTATTTGTAAGTAACTAACTGCTTGCTTGAATGAAACTTAACAATCTTTAAATAAAGATGATATCCAGGCACCAAACCAGGAATACCCATGATGTCCATTATCCAATTTAAAAAAAAAGTTACTGTATATGTGAAGAAGTAGGAAAATGTGAACCATGAACAGGAGAGAAATCAGTCAGTAGAAGCAGACCCAGAAATGGAGAAGATGATGAAATTAACAGATAGGAACTTTATTTTTTAAAATATTTATTTATTTTACAGAGAGAGAGACAGAGAACATGGCAGGGAGGAGCAGAGAGAGAAGAAGAGAGAGAACCTCAAGGTGATTCCACAGAGAACAGAGCCCCACATGAAGCTTCATGCAGGGCTCAACATGGGGCTCAACCCATGACCCGGAGATCACAACCGGAGCAGAAGTCAAGAGTCAGACGTTCAGTCAACTGAGACACCAGGGACCCCAGCAGATAGTAACTTTAAAGCAGTTATAATAAATTTAAAGAAAAACATAAATGTAATTAAAGAAATTTTTAAAAAGAAACTATAAAAAGAATCAGATAAAACTTCTAAAGTAGTAAAATATAATATCCCAAATGAAAATTTCATTGGATGGGTTTAAATGCACCTGAGACATTGCAAAAGAAAAGATCTGTGAATGAAGAAACCGTACCAAAAAATGAACTATGGGAAACCTGGGTGGTTCAGTTGTTAAGCATCTAACTTCAGTTCAGGTCATGAACTCAGGGTCTTGGAATTAAACCCTCCTTAGGGCTACCCACTGAGTAGGGAGTCTGTTTGCCCCTCTGCCTCTGCTCTTCCCCTACTCCTGTGCACACTCTCTCTCAAATAAATAAATAAAATCTTGAAAAAGAAGAAGAAGAAGAACAAACTACACAAAAGTGCAGGAAGAAGTAAAGTTAAAAATAAAATGAACAGAGCCTTGGTAATTGGTTTGACAATATCTAACACATGCATGTAACCAAAAGATCCAGGAAGACAGGAGAGGAGATTTTTAAAAATATACGAAGAAATAATAGCCCAAAGGTTTCTAAGTTTAATAAAAAGTATAAACAGATAGGTCAAAGAAAGAAAACCAACCCAAAAAAAAGGATAAACACGAAGAAATCCTTACTGAGGCATACCCCACTCAAACTGAAAAATATTAGAAATGTCAGAGAAAAAGCCACATAATATTCAGCGAACAAAGATATGTATTACTACTGACTTAATATCAGAAAGAATGTAAACCAGAATATGATAGAATACAATCTTTAAAGTCCTAAAAGAAAAAGCTCTGGAACTTTATACCCAGCAAAAATTCTTCCAAAAAATGAAGGTGAAATAAAAGCATTTTCAGACAAACAAAAGATGAGAGAACTTGTTACTAGCATATCTGTATTATAATAAATGCTAAGGAAAGTTCTTCAGATTAAACAAAAATGATTCTAGATGGAAATATGAATTCACACAAAAGAAACAAAAACTGTCAAAAATGGCAAATATGTAAGACTTTTTTTACAATTTTCTCTAAAATATAAATAACCATTTACATCAAAAACAGTAACAATATTTTGTGAGGTTTAAAGAAAATGAAGAAGTAAAATATACATTAACAATATAAGGAAAGGGTGATAAACTTATAACTAGAGATAAACTGCTATAAGATTCATATACCAAGCTTGAAGTGGTATAATTTGAAGATAGAATGTGATAAGTTAAAGATATGTATGGTAAGACAGATGACTAAAAGTGGGGAAAAAAAGGCATTTAAAATCTAATTAGCCAATAGAAGAATTAAAATCAGAACACTATAAAATACTCAATCCAAAAAGAAAAAAGGAACAAAGAACAGAGAGACAAATTAAAACCAAATATCCTGCATTACAGATGTACACAAAACATATTATTGATAATTACATTAAATGCAAATTGTCTAAATTCTGCTTTAAAAGGTAAATTGTCTTACTGGATTTGAAAAATTACTCAGGACCCAACTATAGGCTATCTATAAGAAGTTCACTTTAAATAAATGACATTGGTAAG